GCCTTCCCAAGTTTCTCAAGTAGCGTTTCCCTGCGGTTCTCCCGGGGCTGGCCGCCCCAGGCCTCGTCCTGCGGATCCCGGGCTGGCGGCAGTGTACCTGGGTGACCTTGAACCGGGGAGGGGGCGTTTGGCACCTTGGTGATTCTCGCAGAAGTGGGAGCGAGGGTGGTCGCCCTGAGTTGGTTCTGTCTCACTGCATCTCTTCCCCTCCTCCCTGCCAGATCTCACAGTCGCCCTGCTCAGGCGCTGGGATTGTCATGCCGCTTTTTACCCACGGGGACTCTGAGATTGGCACACATCAGTGCACTTACCCAAAGTCACACGCACTGAAAGGAAGTGGTAGAGTCAGGATCGGAACCTGACTCAGCTAACTACTGATTTTTTTTTCTTAAGATTTATTTATTTTATTTTTAATGGAAAGGCAGATATACAGAGGAGAGACAGAAAGAAAGATCTTTTGTCCATTGATTCATTCCCCAAGTGGAATCGGAGTTGGGCCAGTCTGAAGCCAGGAACCAGGAGCATCTTCAGGGTCTCCCACATGGATACAGGGTCCCAAATTTTGGACCGTCCTCGACTGCTTTCCTAGGCCACAAGCAGGGCCGCTGGGATTAGAACCAGTGCCCATATAGGATCCCGAGAACTTTAACCACTATGCTATCGCGCCGGGCCCTTTCCTGAGGGTTTTGTTTGGTTTTTAAAATTTGTGCAGGTGCTTGTGGCTCAACAGGCTAATCTTCCCCCTTCAAGGGCCAGCATCCCTTAGGGGTGCCAGTTCGGATCCCGGAGGAGGAGTCAGAGGGGAAAATAGGCAGAGTCTCTGGTCCCTGGTAAAGTTACACTTTAAAATGAAAAATCCTGCTTCTGTATTTCTTACCCCTCCAGGAGCACCTTCTTCCCTTGGAGGGGAACCGAAGGGCAGAATCAGCGTATCTGTTCCCCTCAGCATGATTGGAATGGGAGGAGGAAGCCACCAGTCCCACCCTTGGATAGCTTTTAGTTCTGGGTGAGGTGATGGACTTTGCTGCCATTGCAAATAAGTTTCTTTCTGCCCTTGGGGGTGGATCAGTCGACCCCCTCCCTGAGGTGGTGCGCATAGCACCATTTTCATCACATTCCTGGGTTTTTCCTTCTTTGGAACCCCTTCCTGTCAGGGCAGGGGCCCTTTTTCTCCCTTTCCTAAATAAATCTTGCTTTGCGGGCCCAACATGGTGGCCTAGCAGCTAAAATTCTTGTCTTGCATGCACCAGGATCCCATATGGGCGCCGGTTCTAATCCCAGCAGCCCTGCTTCCCATCCAGCTCCCTGCTTGTGGCCTGGGAAAGCAATGGAGGACGGCCCAAAGTCTTGGGATCCTGTACCCACTTGGGAGACCGGGAGGAAGTTCCAGGCTCCTGGCTTCGAATTAGTACAGCACCAGCCGTTGCAGTCACTCCTCTCTGTAAGACATTCCAATAAAAATAAATAAATCTTTTTAAAAAATCTGTCTCTGTAAATCTACCTTCTCAGCAAAAAAATATATTTTTAAAAAAGATTTATCTATTTTTATTGGAAAGGCAGTTAGAGGAGAGACAGAAGAAAATCTTTTGTGCATTGATTCACTCCCCAAGTGGCTGCAATGGCCAGAGCTGCGCCGATCCGAAGCCAGGAGCCAGGAGCTTCTGGGTCTCCCACACCAGGGCAGGGTCCCAAGGCTTTGGGCCGTCCTCAATCACCCTCCCCAGGCTACAGGCAGGGAGCTGGATGGAAATCACGGCAGCCAGGATAAGAACCGATGCCCATATGGGATCCTTTAGCCGCAGAGCTACCATGCCGGGCCCAGAAAGCATAACTCCTGCATCTGCTAACTCACTCCCAAAGGGCTTGATCGGGCCGAAGCCAGGAACTGAAACTCCGCGCAGGTCTCCTGTGTGTGGCAGGGCGTTGAGCACTTGGGGCCTTCCTGCACAGCCTGTCCTGATGCGTTAGCAGGGAGACGGATGAGAAGTGAGGCAGCCGGGATTCAAGCCAGTGTCCGAGAGAGGACATGTGCAGCCTAACCACCTCAGCCCCCCAGTTTCTGTCTGCTGCCTTTGTGTGCCAGAACCCACTTTGCAAGAGGGTTTGGTTTTTTTCTTATTTTTTGGTGGGGAGGCGACTTCTGTGATGGATTTGAATCCTGCATTCAAGTCCAGTGCAGCCTTTCCCAGCTGTGTGGCCTTGAGCAAGTGGCTACCCTCTCTGAACCCGAGTTTCATCCTCTGTAATGGGAGGATGACAACGCCCTTCCTGCAGGTGGGATGAGAAGGTCTCATGAAGGGTGGGACATGGAGGAAGTGTTTGGCAGGTCCTCTTGCAGGTGCTCAGAATGGGGGGGTGGTACAGAGCGTCTAATGCTCCAGGGAGGGGAGAGGGATTCTCAGTGGGTGGGAACTATGGGAGGACTTCATCCAGCTGGAAGGCTTCCTGGAGGAATACAAAAGCTTGAGCTGGTTGTGTGTCCCCGGAAAGGTTTTCCTTTGCACCTAGGAAATGGGCTGTGAGGGACAGAGGGGTACAGCTGTGTCCGAGCAGACATGTTGCCTACACGGGCATTTTCATGCACACACAGTCAGCCAGTCAGTCACACAGGGACACCCAGGCCTGCAGTGTCAGACTACACGTCATCCACACAAGCTTACACACAACACAGCAACACCCAGGCCTGCCAAGTCAGACACGCGGAACCACATCACACAGGTGTACACGATGAGCTTGCTTCCCATACTACTAACCAGCAACTCACACACACCCCGGGCAGAACAATGTCACCCGCACACAGAAACGGAGGGACAACGCTCCCCAACACAGCAGATACACACACATCACATCACACAGACCCACGTAGAAACAGTTCCACACACAGTATCAGCAAGCAGCATGGACACCCAGCCACGCCCATACACACAATCCCAAGATGTGACCCCACAAATGAGTCAGCACACAGTTCTGGTGCCCACCAAGGCAAGGTCTTTATGGTGGTCTACGGATTTGTGGGTGTCAGGGCCTGTGTGACTGGTCCAGTCCCTTCCCCACCCTAGCCCATCACAGTTCCCTCCACCAGGGGCAGCCTAGTCACCTAATGAGATGACAGAGGAGTCAGACACGTTCCCCTCCCACCCCCCCTTAGCACCAATCAGGACAGGCCACCCCCTTAAAAGAATGAGTGGTACCTCCTCCCAAAGGGGGTGAATAGAGCCGGGAGGAGGCTTTTCCTATGGGAGACCAAGAGTAGCACCACTTGAGGGGGCAGTATGAGGGACACAAGGCTAGTGGCCTCTCTCCACACCCGTGATGTGCGGACATGGCTGTGCATGTGTCATGTAATTAGAGAAGCCTGATCTCATCTCTTGGATTGTGAGCGCCCCAAAGGGCTCATGGAAGCCCCCAGCCTGACCCTCTGTAACCTGGACATCCAGGCAAAACTCAAGGTTATGTGCATCCAGAGGGGGAAGCACATCCCGAGACTTTGGGAGGCACCTGAGCATGAAGTTTGTGAGTAGACCCTCAGAGTGGGGGGGTGAGTGGAGCGCTGGAATGGGAAGACTTAAGACTGAAGGTAGGAACCTGGGGTGGGGTGGGGTGGGGTGGGGAGCAGGTCTGGTGGGCTGAGAAACCCAGAGTGGCTTGAGCAGGTTGGGGTGTGGCATTAGGAAGTCCAAGGCTGAGTCATTCCGAGGATGGAATTCGATCCTAGCACCAAGAGGAGGAGTTCTAGCACCATTATGTAAAATCAGAGTCAGGTGCAGGCTGGGAGGCCCTAGCACCAGAGGGATTCAGAGTAAGACTAGGGTTTGAAAAAGTACACAGAGCACATTCTGGAACCACGTGGATTTTGGAAGTCTAGAAGGAGTTCAAGGTCACACAGTGTAGAGCCAGGAAGTGTGAGGTGAGGTCCTTACTGGTAAGACGCATGAAGGCTGAGTTCTGGAGCAGCAGGGAGGTGGAAGATGTGAGGTATGGAATCAAAAGGATTTACCAGGTGGGGTTTAGAGTCTAAAGACAATGTGAGGCTCCATTCTAGAACCAAACAGCAGGTCACATGATACGGGCTATAGGGTGCAGGATGTGCAAGAGTTGGTCAAGGTTATGACCTTTAGAACTGGTGAATGCTGAAGGTCTGGTTCTAGAAGGCCAAGGCCTAAAGCTCCTTTTACGTCATTATGATAGGGCAGTCTCTGAGTGTAGAGAGAGGGAAGCAGGAATGGGCATCCTGAGGTTTGGAATCAAGATGATGAACACTCACATCTGGCTTTGGACCAAATGTACTGCAGTCCAGACAGCCTAGACCCAACAAAAAGGTTGGTGTCGTGGGGTCAAGGACCAGGGAGGTCACTGGCTGTGAAAGCAGAAATTTGGAGGATGTCAGGCTAAGAACCAGAGGAATTTGCTGGAAGAAATCTAGAGCCAAAGGAAATCAGAGTTCTGTGGAGGGTTCTAGAACCTGGGGTCTCGGCTGGTCCTAGGCTCTAGATCCAGTGTGTGTTGGAGGCTGCAAGGCCTAAAAAACAGAGTGGTTTGTAGAGATTGTAAGATTTGGAAATGGGCAGAATTGGAGGCTATGAGGTCCACAATGAGAAAGAACCAAAAAGATTTGGAAGCAGAGAGGCGAAGTCTAAACCAGACCGTGCCAGCAACCGTGTGTTCTAGAATGTGGGGGGCAGAAGTCCCCCAGCCTAGAACTGATGAGGGTCAGAGGTTATGTGGTCTGGAACCAGAGGAGGTTGGGGTGTGACCCCAGGAACAGGAAGAGGCTGCACAGTCTGGGAACCAGTGAAGGTCAGACGTCATGCAGTCTAGAACCCAAGAAGGTTGTACAGTGTGGAACCAGAGGAGGTTGGCAGAGACCACCCAAATAGGAAGATGACAGTGGAGTCACTGCCCAGGTGAGGCTGGAGGCAGCAGGAACTCCAGTGGAAGGGGCAGGCAGACATTGCTGGGGGGGAGGTCTGGCCCAGTGCTTGCCCCCACTGACACCTGAGGAGGAAGGGAGGCCGGAATCCCACATGAATATGGGCCTTAGGTAATTCATGGTGATGCAAACCATAGCATGAAGACAAGAAAAATCAAAACCAAAGAAGGACACAAACAAACAAACACCTATCTGTGCCCCAGTCCACCCCCCTTGTTCCCCAAAATATAGCCCAGAGAGTTAGAGGAAGGGTGATGAGGTAACCAGGGAGCCCCAAGGGAAATCCTGAGAAGGGAGGAGGGGGCTGAGGACCCCCTCCCAGAGGTCACTGAGCTGAGACCACCCCACAAGCCCCCTCAACAGTGGGAGCACATGGGGGGGGTGGGGCTGAGGTAGGCCCGAGGCTGGTGGAGGGGGCCATTCAGAGATGGGGGTCCCCGTCCTGTGCGTTGGCTGAAGGCTTGGAGTGTGGCTGAGGTCCTGTGGTGGGGCGGGAGGAGAAGGGAGGTGAGACGTGAGGGGGTGGCTCAGTGGGCACGGGCTGAGCCTGCTGCAGGCTGGAAGAGGCTCCTGGATGGGGCGGCATCCTCCACTGGGTAGTGAGAGAGCAGTGAGGGACCCAGGCCTGCAGGGAAGAGCGGACAGAGACCAGAAGAAGGTAACCAAGAGCCCAACCTGCCTCCCATATCCTCCCCACACCAAAGCCTGGAAGTCAGCTGCATGGCCAGCACTGAGCTCTTGGGCAAGCGGTTAAGAGCCCCAGTGCAGAGCCAGCTTGAATCCAGGGGTTCTTGGTGGGTGGCTTGTTGTGTCACATGGGGCAGCTGACGTGACCTACTGGGGCCTCAGTCTGCTCATCTGTAGAATGGGTGAATGGCAGCTTCCTCTCAGCAGGAGTGGGAGGAGTCAATGAGGGATCCCCTGTGCCGGTACTGGTGAGAGAGCTGGCACTGGTGAGTGAGTGCCCAATGGATGTTGGCATCTCTGTTCTGTGAACCTACACTGGGTCACGTGGCCACAGGGCAGGCGTTACGGGTCCTTCACAGCACTTCTGCGAGACTATGGAATGTCTTCAGGTAGGACCCAGGGCAGTGGGGCCCATGCCGTGTGTATGTGCACGTGTGTGCACAGTACCGTGCGTCTGTGGCCACGTGTGTGTCGCAGGCGTGTGTTCGTGAACACATATGTTTGTGTGCATGCACACATGTTCATCCATGCTTGTCGTGTACACGGAGTGTTGTGTTCGTGTGTAAGCATGTGCATGCGTGTCATTTATGTGAGTCTGCACATGTGTATATATGGCCATGTGTACATGCACATATATGTATGCGTGTGTGGCAGAAATGATCCTGAGGCCACACAGCTGGGAGTGGCCAGGTGGGATTCAACGCCCTATTTGCCAAGCCCTAAAGTATAAGCTCGAGGGGACAAGGTTTGGCCATGAACTTGGCTTATTCTCCCGGGGGCAGCCCTGCTCTTGAAGCATCTCTTTCCTCTCTACAATACCCGTGAAACGAGAAAAGGGCAGCCCATGTCCACCAGTGTGCCCAGGGTTGGCAGTGTCCCCGCCCCACCCCCACCCCGCTCCGAGTCACCCAGCACAGCGGGGTGTCACTCACCCAGACACTCATTCAGGTCCTGGAGGGGGGTGCTGGGCTCCTGCTGGCGTCCTAGGACAGGTCCTCCCGGCCAAAGAAAACTCTGGGGGAAGGAGACAAAGCTTTCTCCATCACCCTCACCATGCTCAGGATCCGAGGCGGCTGGAGGGCTCGGTGGGGTGAGAGCACCGTGAGGGTCCGAGTGCCATGGTGGGCAAGTCACTGTCCAGTGGCCTCGGTGTGCTCCACAGCCACCTGCTCCCTGTGTCCCTTCCTCCCCTGGCACAGGTGGGCACCTGTGCAGCCTCACTCTAGTTTCTAGAAGGTGCCAGGGGAAAGGGGAGAGGAAGGTCATTTATCCTTCTAGCTGCTTTCATGTCTGGCCACTGTGGGTTTGGCCATGGCCTTCTGTGGACCTTACCAAGTAGACCTCCCTCTGTCCCACAGTCCAGGGACCACCTCTGTCCTTCACCTTCAGACTAGGGTTGGTACCAGCTCTCCAGGCAGCCACACCTTTGTACTGTTTCCTGTCTAGGTTGAGCCAGCTGATGAAGCTATCTGTGCCAGGGCAAGTGCCCATGAGGATGATAGGAACTAGCCAGCCAGCACCTAAACACGGCAGGCATTCAATGCTGGTCAGCTGTCAATGGCATCACCCACAGTTCCCATGCTCGAACAGCTGGCCGAGGATCCAGGACCCTTCTGTAGGTGTTAGGGAGCTATAGGAAGGCCTAGAGGGAGGCCTTGTGTCCAGTGATACAGACCAAACTGGCTTTGAGAAAGGGCATCTTGTTTGTAGGATGTTGGGGTGAGGGAGTGCTGGGGGCAGTGAGCCTTGAGACGGGGGCTGGGGAAAGGCTGTGTGCATGTGTGGGTGTGTGTATCAGCGAAGAGCCTGGTTCCATCTGACTTCCAAAGCGCTCAGTGTGGCGACCTGCCTGCCCAGAGTTCTCAGTTCCCACGTGGCAGGCCTGGCACTTGCACTGGGTCCATCTGTGCTCTCACCCCTTGAAACACTGAGGCATGTCCAAGGTCTGATCCGGCTTGGGGAGGGGGCCCGTTGGAGCAGAGGTGACGCCTACAGACAGACCCTAGCCACCTGCCAATTCCCCCCTTACCTGCCTAACTTTCTCTCTCAGCACTTTTCACCAACCAGCAGCTGTTTGCAAAGGCCTTTCCCCCCAGAGCTATAAGGTCAAGGTCCCAACCTCAGCTGGGCCCCTGGCCTCCTGCCTGACCTGCAGCCAGCCCCTGTTCCTCTCTGCTGTCCAGGGAAGCCCATTGATCGCCAGACATACCAGGCTGAGCGGAGGCAGCAGAAAGTTGTTGGGTTCTGGCCCCGGGGGTCGTTTTGGGGGTCTCACTCCCAGCAGCTCCACCCCTTCAGCCTCATCCTCAGAGCTTGGGGCCAGGGTCCTGGAGGGCAACAAGGCAAGAGACACTCAGAACACAGCAGTCAGGCAGATGAAGGCATTCACTCACTCTGCTCGCATTCATTCCTCTACTCACAGCAATCCAACTGTCTACCAAGCCATCCTCTCATTCAAACAGCCAATCATCCATCACCTACCTACCCATCCAACCTTTCTGTCAGTGTCTGCATTCATCCATGCACTGATTTGCTTTCCATTTCAATTACTCTCCCCATCCTCCCATCCCCCCACCCCGCTACTTACCCATCCATCCACCCATCCACCTATCCACCCATCCATCCATCCATTTATCCCCCCACCCCGCTACTCACCCATCCATCCATCCATCCACCCATCCACCCATCCATCCACCCATCCACCTATCCACCCATCCATCCATTTATCCCCCCACCCCACTACTCACCCATCCATCCATCCATCCATCCATCCATCCATCCATCCATTTATCCCCCACCCCACTACTCACCCATCCACCCATCTTCCTGTTCACATTTGCTGATCTACCTTTCCATTAATCCACTTATCTATTCACCCATCCATCTTTCACAAATTCCTTCCCTCCTTCATTTCATAAACATCACTAGACATCCACCATTTACATGCCAAGCCTCAAGCTGGACACCTTGGGAGATACTGGGATATACCCACAAAAAACCCCACAAAGATAGTGAAGATCCCACTCAGGAGACCAAAGGGGAACATGTCACCAACTTGGGAAGCAGAAAGTTGAGTCTTAGTGCAAGGAATTGGGGGGGTCAGGACCATTTAAAATTCATAAACAGTTTTCGTCTGTGTTTGTATTTAAATTGTCTTGGAAAGAATCTGTGACTTTGATGAGATTCTCAAAGTTGTTAAGCAACTTAGCTGTCAACACCATGCAGTGATTGTGACAGACATGGTCTCTAGGCCAGATGTGGCCAGTTGTGGGTGCCAGCAGAGAGCAGCTTGGGATAAGACAGAAGAGAACAGTAGAGGGCGCTCCCAAGAGGATGCACTGAGGCAAAGGGGCACAGAGCTTTGGATCAACCCCGGCCCCATGGGAGCGGACATCAGGGTGGGGTGGTGTGGGATGAGGAGGCTGAAGTCAGGATGCCTCCTCTCTCTGTGGCTTACCTCTTCTGAGCCCTGGGCACAGGGGAGGACACCGAGGCGTCTCTTCTGCAAGGGCTAGAGCAGCTCAGCCGGGGGTCACTGCCCCAGCGGGGCAGTACAGAGGCCTCTGGGGTCGGAGGCGACAGGCCATGGAAGCTCCGTGCGCGGGGCCGGGGGACAGTCCCTGCAGGTTTGTGGTAGGCTCTGGATAGCTGGTCACAGGAGCTGAGCTGGAAGTCATCGTCCATGGAGATGTATGGAGCCAGCATTTCCAAATCCAGGCCATTGGCATCCTGACGGGGCAGGAGGGAGTTGAGAGCACACGCCTGGGGCTCCACCAATACTCCCGACCCCGCCTCAGTTTTCCTGCCTCATCTGTCACAGCCATCAGAGGATGGCTGAGCTAAGGTCCTAAGTGCTAGTCGTGTAAATCCATGTATTTTGGAGGGACTGAGTATCCGAAAACAGACAAGAGTAAGGCTGGGGTCCCCTGGGTGGGGCGCTGCCCTGGCCAACAGCTCCGTATGGTAGGTGTGGCCTTTGAGCTGTGCTGTGGGTGGGATCCGGAGATTCTGGAAAGCTTATTAGGTCAAGTTCAAATACCTTGGAACAACCAGTCCTAAAAATAATCCGAAGGTTGAGGAGGCTGCCAGTGATGGCTTAGAACTGAGGAAACCAGGGGACAGGGGATTCTTTTTCATTATTATTTTTCTTAATTTTGGGGGGGTATAGTGACTGGAAGCTTAGCAATACTGTTTCCAGCAGCTTTTTCCGTGGGAAAATGGGCAACTAACTGGGCTTGGGTGCTTTCGTGCAGAGAACTTCCAGCTGGAATGTTGGAGGTGCCAACCAATGGATACATTTTTGCTATTTGCAACAGCCAAGGTGGAGTGGGGAGGGCGGGGGAAGAAGCGAAAGGAAGAAATGTCACACGTGAGAGGGCTGGCAGGGCTTGAAGATGCTCCACCTCTTTGTAGAATTAACATTGCACACAGACAGCTGGCCTGAGTCTCAACCGAGAAGCAATCTTGGAATTCCTGCACTCCCCCACCCCCACCTCAGGCCTAGCTTTGTAGTTCACCCTGGGTCCCTTGGACATCACTTAGTAGCTCAGGCTAATGAGGTGACTCATGATAGGCTCCCTAGATGGCTTATGCTAATGAGGTGACTCACGATGGGCTGCCTAAACAGTTTATGCTAATCAGATGCTGGGGGCTGGTCATGCTGCAAGGACAGACTGTGTGATTTGGGCAGGAGAAATCAACTTGACCTCCAGGGAAGGTGGAGGTAGCATTGGAGGTTGATTTTGGTTAGATAGGTAATAACTGTACTAAGTGATGGAATCCCAATAACAGCTCCAGAGCCTGGAGCTGGGGTGGGCGTCCTGGCTTGGCAGCAGTGTGGGCACACTGCCACTGATTTGGTGCCAGGGGGCGAACATGTCCCTGAGACCATCCATCCATGTCTGCCCTTACCTGGGCTACCTCTAGATCTGTCTCCTTTGCCTCCAGGGTTTTCCGGGTCACCAAGGGTCTGTGTGCATTCTCCATGCCCACAAGCAGTTGATCTGGGAGATCAGCCTGTGGGGGAATAAAGGAGAGACATCAGGGAATCCTGACCCTGGAGGTGTCAACAGTAAGACAGCCTGGAGCTCAGGGTCAGGGGAAGTACTGCGGGCCGGACACCAGTCAGCTGGGGCACCAGGTGGGTCCAATGGCAGGAGCAAATAAACCCCAACGTGGGCATTCAAAGTCAGTGTGTCTGGACTCGGACAGGGGACTTCAAAAATGATCGTGGAAAACAGAATTAGAAGTATGAGTTTAAGGGCTGGTGTTGTAGCATAGCCAGTGAAGCTACTGCTATGCCAGTTTCCATTCTGGTTGTTCCACTTCCACTCCAGCTTCCTGTTAATGGCCTGGGAAAGCAGCAGAGCATGATTCAAGTGCTCTGGTCCCTGAAACCACGTGTGAGACCCTCAACAAAGGCCTGCCTACTGGTTTTGGATGGTTCAGTTCTGGCCATTACAGCCATTCGGGGAGTGAGCCAGTGGACAGAACATTTTTGTCTCTCTGACTCTATAACTGCATTTTAAATAAAAATCAATGAATCTTGGGCCCGGCGACGTGGCCTAGTGGCTAAAGTCCTCACCTTAAACGCGCTGGGATCCCATAAGGGCACCGGTTCTAATCCTGGCTGCTCCACTTCCCATCCAGCTCCCTGCTTGTGGCCTGGGAAGGCAGTCGAGGACGGCCCAAAGCTTTGGAACCCTGCACCCATGTGGGAGACCCAGAAGAAGTTTCTGGATCCTGGCTTCGGGTCAGCTGCTCACTTGGGGAGTGAATCATCGGATGGAGGATCTTCCTCTCTGTCTCTCCTCCTCTCTGTATATATGACTTTCCAATAAATAAATAAATATTTTTTTTAAAAAAATCAATGAATCTTTTTCAAAAAGAAAAAGTTAGACTCCCTAAACTCTCGGTAAAATGGTAAACTCTTTAGTTCTGGGACACCTGTGTCACATCGAAGCGCCAGTTCAAGTCTCTGCTACTTTGCTTCCGACTGAGCGGACAATGGTTCAAGTGCTTGGACAAGCCACAGGGGAGACCCAGGTGGACTCCCTGGCTCCTGGCTTTGCCCTGGCTCAGCCCTGTCTGTTGTAGGCCTTTAGGGAGTGATCCAGTGGACAGAAGATTCTCTCTCTGACTCTTTAGGGAGGTTCAAATTCAGAGAACCTGGATACTTGGTCAAAAGCTGGGAGGGGTCTCCCATGCCAGTCCCAAACCTGTCATGTGGAGGCTGAACTCCAGAATTCCGACAGTTGAAGAAGTCCAGGTCTCAAAGGAACCCCAACCCCATCTCATCTCAACCCACAGGTTCTAGCTAAAGGCCTCCTGGTGGGCAAGGATACTGACCGGAAGAGGACTGGGTGGGCGGGGATGCTTACCGGAAGAGGGCTCTGGGGACGCCGCCTAGCTGGCTGTGTGCTGGGGGTGGCAGCTGCAACCGAAGCCCCATCCAGAATGGGCGCCAGGAGGCAGCGGAGGTCAGGGCTACAGAAACGGCGGGGATCAGCGGCCAGCGCAGCTTCGCTCAGGGCAGGGGGGTGCAGGAAGGCCAGGATCCGGGGACCAGGTCGGTCTGTAGGACACATGGGCATGGTGGGGGGGACACAGGCGGTCATCTCGGGGCCGGAGGCAGAGGGCAGGGACCCCCACACCAACCCCAGGGGACGCAGCTGACATCCCCGATTTGCATAGTCAGGGTGGCTGTTACCTACAGAGTTGGGCAGAGGGTCCAGGCGGTAGCTTTTGTTGCCAGGTTGTCATGAAACACAACCCCTCCACCCTTCCCCAGAGCCTCCCAGGGGAGCTTGCAAGGCTGGGAGAAAAGTGTGGCTCAAGCCCCGCCCACCCCCTCCGGCAGGAGGGCCTAAGGTCCCTGGAGATTAAGAAGAAAGGGGAAACCAGTTACCCCCTCTCCTCATGGCCCCAGGATCCAACAGGGAGAGAAGGCCGAACTAGGATGAGCAGAGAGGAGAGATGGAGGCAGAGGGAATTATAGCAGGATTCAAAGCAGAAGCAACAAGAAATGAACTGTACAGCCAGGGGCACTGGTGGGAAGGGTGGCAGTGGAGGAGGGAACTGCATATGCCAAGGCTGGGGACCCGTCCACATGGCCCCCGACCCTTCCCGCAAGACGGAGGGAGGAGCCAAGGAGGCAGGACCCAGATCTAGCACGGCCTGGGCGTTCTCCTAAGGGCCCAAGGGATACAGCCCCTTCCCAACCCCTGCCCTGCCTGCCTCCCACCCCTACCCCACCCCTACCCCGTACCACGACTATCCCCAGAGGCAGGACCATCCGTCTGAGAGGGGACGCTCTGTTGATGGGGTCTGCGGGAGTGTCGCTCCGTCTGCTCCAGGGACAGCACCACTCCGGTCTCCTCCACCCGGCTGGGGTACAAGGCAGAAAGGGGGTGGGGGCTGGGAGTCACGGGGTGGGGGTGGGAGGGTCCTTGGCCACAGCCAGGTCACCCTGGCAGGTTACAGGAAGCAGCTGGGGGTGGGATGGGGGGACAAAAGGTAAAATTCCCCCTCTTTCCTCTGATTTGTATAAGGCCTTGCTTTTTGTGGATTGCTTTTGATGATACGAGGGTACTTCAAAAAGTTTGTGGAAATGGAATACAAAGGTTATTTTGGTGCAAGAAAACTTTTTTTTTTTTAAATTCCGTGCATACGACGGCTGAGCATCCCTAATCCGAAAATCCGAAATGCTCCAAACTCCGAAACTTTTTGAGTGCCAACGTGAATGGAAAATCCCACGCCATGAAGCTGGGTTTCCGGCTCAGAATTCTTTTCAAAACCCAGTGTATGCCATTAGCTGCAGCCTACGTGTAGAGAGGGGGTCGTGTTGGGACTTAGGCCTCTTCCCCAAGATGGCCCATGACGTATACACAAGCCCCAAAGAATCCGAAATCTGAAATACTTCCGGCCCCACGCATTTCGGATGAGGGATACTCAACTTGTCACGGCATTTAAAAGAGAGTTAAGTTTGTCACTTCCCAAGCTCCATCTGCAGAAGGAAAAGAGAAAAAAAAAATGCTGGCATTTAGCACAGCTTGGTAGAGAGAAGACTGGGGTGGGGCTGGGGGTGGGAGACACAGAGAGGGGAGGAGGTGGGGGACAGAGCAGGATGGGGGGAGACTCAGCGGTGTGGGGGGAGTGACAGCTCAAGAGTTCAGTCTTCTCCTTTTAGACATCGAGATAAACATTATTCTCATCAACCTGCTGATGGCACAGCCATGCTCGCAGCCTTCATTGCGTGACCAAGCGTGAAGAATCCAGAGGGCTTTGGTTTCATGAAAAAGGACTTATTTAGGAAGCTTCTATTCATAGACGTGTTTCAAACTCAAGAGAACAAATTTATAAATACAGCTTGTAACCCCCCCTCCCCGCCCGCAGGCTCCAGCTGTAGGACCCAGCATCCGTGGGGCAGGACACGTCAGGGAGACTTGGTCTGGGGCTAAAGACCAGCGCCCCCCCCCCCACCTTATTTGTATTTCATTTGGCTAACAGTCCCCTGGGCTGAATGTTCTAGAAGCTGAGACCACACCCCCACCCTCACTGAGTCCTTCCTGGGCCAAACCTTCCAATGCAAGCCATGCCACGCCCCGTGAATCGCTCTGAAACAGCAGTCACAGTCTCGTGTGTACACACACTTGGTACACACAGCCTCATGTGCCACAGGCACACACACCCACATTCAGGGACAGACACGCTCCCAGGCTGTGTGCACACGGCAGGCTCACTCCACAGACATCTGCTGGTCAGATGGTGCTGTACAAGAGCCGAGGGCAAGAACTTTATGCAGCCGTGGCCCAGGGTTCAAATCCCGGCTCTGCCTCTACACCTCGCTGGGCCACCCTGGAGCTCCATGTCCTCTTCTGGAACAGTCTCTCCTCCCCCAGAGTGTTAGGAGGGTTAAATAAGTCAGCGTGTGGTGCAGCGCATATAGCCGTGCTGTGTCTGCGGCAAGCTCCGTGTGTCTGCTAGGATTCAGCTTCAAATTATTTTTCTTTTTTTGTTATTTATTTGGGAGCTAAACACACATGATCACACACACACATCCACTGGCTCACTCCCCAAATGCCTGCAATGGCCAGGGCTGGGACTGGGCTGGGAGTGGGGTTGCAGCTCAACCCAGGCCTACTCCATGAGTGACAAAGACCTGGTTACTGGGCTGTCCCCGCTGCGTCCTGAGGCTGGGCTGGCAGGGAGCTGGGACCAGAAACTAAAGCCAGGCACTCCAAGGGGGGACGTGGGCATCTGAACCAGTGGTTTACTGTTGAGAGACCCACCCCTGCTGCCATCGTTATTGTTATTAATTACCATTTGCTGAGCAACTACTATGTCTTGGAAATTGGGGACTCAGTAGAAAACAAAGCTCACCATCTTCATGGGGTAACGAAATGCTAGTAGCCACATGTAGAATAAAGCGAGTGTGCAGGGTCCCTAACTCCACAGCCATGCTAAGCTTGCACAGCCATGGGATACCGCCTGCACCGGGACCCCGGCCAGGCGGAAGGCAGAAGTTGTTCATTCTCCGTTGACTGCAGATCGAAACAATCTCCGGATGTGCCACCTCGCATGTGTCCCAACAGTGTCACATGCTTCTTTTTACCTTGGGAATGTGGCTCCTAGAAAATTCATAATGGCACCTGTGCCTGGCACACTCTTCCCAGGACAGTGTTGGGGGGTTGGGAGAGAGAAGGATGAGGGTTCACAGCTTTGGAAAGGCCAAGGAAGGAAGCACATTCCGAGGGGAGGCAGCAGGTGCAAAGGCCCTGGGGTTTGGTGTGTACTTGACAGGGGCAGGGAGGGCAGGGAGGGCAGGGAGGGCAGGGAGGGCAGGGAGGGCAGGGAGGCAGTGCCTCACAGCACGGAGGAATTCTGCTGAAGAGCCAGAGGGCTGCAGACAGCTCTGAGCATTGAGATGATTTGCATTTCAGAACTGGGAAAATCCCTGAGGCTTTAGAAATCAGAGGGCCAGGCAAGGTAGCTTAGCAGCTTGGGTCCTCTCCTTGCATGCGCCAGGATCCCATAGGGACACTGGTTCTAATCCCAGTGGCCCCGCTTCCCATCCAGCTCCCTGCCTGTGGTCTGGGATGGCCCAAAGCCTTGGGACCCTGCACCCATGTGGGAGACCCAAGGGAAGCTCTGGGCTCCTGGCTTCGGATTGGCTCAGCTCAGGCCTTTGCGGCCACTTGGGGAGTGAATTGGCAGACGAAGGAATCTTCCTGTCTGTCTCTCTGTGTGTCTAACTTTCCAATAAAAATAAATAAACAAAATAAATCTTAAACAAACAAACAAGGAAATCAGAGCCCTGCAGCTCAGCAGACTAATCCTCCACCTGCAAGCACCAGGATCCCAAATGGGTGCCCGTTTGTGTCCCAGCTGCTCCTTCCAGCTCCCTGCTTGTGGCCTGGGAAAGCAGCAAAGAATGGCTCAAGTCTTTGGACCCCTTCACTCATGGGGGAGACCACCTGGAAGAAGCTTCTGTCTCCTGGCTTCAGATCGGCTTTGCTCTGATTTATAGGGCCATCTAGGGAGTGAACCAACGGATGCAAGATCTCTCCCTGTCTCTCCTTTTCTCTGTAGATCTGCCTTTCCAAAATCAATAAATGAACCTTTAAAAAGGAGAAAAGCCATGTGCTGTGATTTTACCACTACACACCTGTCAGAAGAGTTGAAAGTAAAAAACCAAATAAAACACAACCAACTAACTGATGTGATGAAATGCTGGAAGGAGGTGGGGCAGCCAGAACTATCACTGTCATTCATGCGTGTAAAAAGGCCCAGCCAGCTCCCAGGCAGCCCGCTGCCCCGCACCTGCTACCGGAAATGAAATCCACAAAACCGCGTTCCCCCACTGGTGTGTATGTGTTCCCGCGTGTACCCGGGAGGCTGCCCAGCACACAGAGGCTCCATGGTCACAGCCCACAACTTGGTCATGTCTCAGACACGTCACAGCACACAGCGGCTGCATATGGCAGGCCTTTTGTGTTCGGCATTCTGGGAAGGGCTGTGGTGCTGGGAGTGTGGGGGGACTGAGGTAGCTGGGGGGACTGAGGCAGTTGGGGGGACTGAGGCAGCTGGGGCGGAGGCCCTGTGCCTGGGAGGTGAAGCTCAATTCTGCATGTGTTTGCCAACAACGTGCAAATAGAATGGATGCAAGCCCTCACTCAGTTTTTAAAAAGTGGAAACAGAACCTCACGATTCTGCTGCATTTCTTGCGGAGGGTCCCTTTAAATTTGAAGCTCTCCTCGCGCCACATTGGGAACCCTGGGATGGCGTCAGGTGGCTGTCCTCCATCCCAGGGTACAGAGGCATTTGGGAGGCTGGATGTGGCTTCTCCCCTTATCTTCCCCTCCCCCCAAATATAGGAAGGAAAAAAAGAGAATGTGGAAATAATGGTCTAACCACCTTCCGTAGCCCTTGATCCACTGTTGGTACACGCACACACACAGGCACACGCACCTGCTGATGCTGTCTGCAGTCTTGTGGTCACACATGTTCTCCGTGTCCATGCATGCAATACACACATGTCTATGTGACACGCGTCCACACACATGCAGACCAGAGACACCCCAGCATGCCCCTTCCGGCTTACCTGATTAGGAAGTGGACGCAGATGATGCTCTCGGACTGGGGACCCCGGCCCCCTGACACCACTGTGGCCTGGGTCTGGGTCCACAGGTAGCCACCGCTCCGGGCCAGGAAGCGATATTGCCCCGTTACTGCCTGGCCCTTGCTCAGCACTGAGGGGAGCAGGCAGGGGTCAGGGCTAGAGAGAGGGCTCTGAGGGGGGTGTCAAGGGCTGGGCAGGAGGTTGATGGGGAGGAGAAGGCTCCTTGGTGGGGATTGGGGAGCAGGGAGCTGTTGTTGAGTGGGGGTGGTGGCAGCCATGGAGTCAGGGGACACACGTACAAGTGTGGATGCTCTTGCTGACGGCATCCGAGTCCAGCGCGTGGATATACTCGTAGGCCGAGCAGCCAATCAGGTCATCAGGGCTGTAGCCGGCGACCTCTGCGATCCTGGGGGTGGGTGGAGGTTAGGGTGCACCGGGCTGCAGCAGCGGATGAAGGGTGTGGCAGGCCAGCCAGGGGGACGGGTGGGAGGTAGGGGAGGGAGGGAGAGGCAGGGTCGCAACAGAGAGAAAGGGAGAGGGTGAGAGCAGCGCGGTGGGTTGCCTGGGACTTGGCGATATGGTCTGCTAAGTAGCTAAGGGGGCCCTGCAGATACCATGAAACAGAAAGCACCCCAAGCCAGGGACAAGATCTCCCATTATCTCCAGGGGTCCCGCCAGGGAAGGGTCAGCAAGTCCATGGGGGAGCAAAGGGGATCCCCAAGGGAAGCAGGAGACAGCACCAGCAGCCCTGCTGGTGACAACCCTGGCTGGGCCCTGCCAGCTGGCCGCTGTGACGGTGGGCAGGGCTGTCATTCTCTCCAGGACAGAGACACTGGGCACCAACCAGGGCTTGGTGTTGTGGGGCAACAGGGCAAGCCCTGCGATGCCAGCTTCCCATGTAAGCAGTGGTTCAAGTCCCCACCGCTCTACTTCCCATCCAGCTCTCTCCTTACGGCCTGGGAAAGCAGCAGAGAGTGGCCCAAGTCCTTGGGTCTCTGCACCCACGTGAGAGACCTGGAAGAAGCTGCTGGCTCCTGGCTCCTGGCTCCTGGTCAGCCCTGCTCTGATCATTGTGGCCATGTGAGAAGAGAACCAGAGGATGGAAGATCTCTCCATGCCTCTCCTTCTCTTTCCATAAAATCTGCCTTTCAGGGCCCAGTGCCGTAGCCTAGTGACTAAAGTTCTTGCCTTGCACACACTGGGATATCATATAGGTGCCGGTTCACATCTTGGTGGCCCTGCTTCCCATCCAGCTTCCCATCCAGCTCCCTGCTTGTGGCCTGGGAAAGCAGTTGAGGACGGCCCAAAGCCTTGGGACCCTACACCTGTGTGGGAGACCCAGAAGAGGCTCCTGGGTCTTGGCTTCAGATTAGCTCAGCTCTGGCCATTGTGGCTACTTGGAGTGAATCAGTGGATGGAGGATCTTCTTTGTTTCTCCTTCTCTCTGTAAAATCTGACTTTCCCATAAAAGTTTTTTTTAAAAAAAAAATCTCTCTAAAAAAATCTGCTTTTCAAATTAAAAAAAAAAAAACTTTCAAAAAAATAATTGATTCAAAGAAAAGAAAAAAAAAAAGAAAAAGACTGAGGCATTGCAGGACCCTGAAATACTGAAAGAAACGCGGAGGGAGGATGAAAGACGAGAAATTGCACAAGGGCAGCCACGCAAAAAGAGACGAAAGGATGGAGGACCAGTGGAGGCTGAGAGATGAGCCCGGCAGGGCAGGGCGCAGAGCCCAGGGGGGAGGGCGCAGAGCCCAGGGGGGAGGGCGCAGAGCCCGCGGGGGAGGGCGCAGAGCCCAGGGGGGAGGGCGCAGAGCCCGGGGGGGGGGAGGGCGCAGAGCCCAAGGGGGAGGGCGCAGAGCCCGCGGGGAGGGCGCAGAGCCTGGGGCCTCGGGCGGAAGGCAGGGAGAGGAGCCTGCCCACCTCTCGTCGCAGTAGGTGAACTTCATGTCCAGGCTGTGGCGGCTGAGGAAGGACCCCCGGGCCAGCGGCGGCTCCAGGCTGCCGGGGTGGGGGATGGCTTCACAGATGAGCACCAGGCACTGCAGGGGCGGCTCTGAACGGGGGCTCCCGGTTGGGGAGGTCTGAGCCGGGGGCCTGTAGGCCCGCATGTGTCCGGAGCAGTGTAGCACCTGGGGGCCAGGTGGGGCAGGCAGGACTCAGAGCTTCCAGGACCCCCAACTGCAGGCGCTTGGGAATCCCAACCTTAGGATTCCCCAGACCCCCCAAGTCCACGGATGCCTCACTAAGGACTCCCCATCCCAAGCCCTGGACACCTGCTCACAAGAGACCCCGGGACTCCAATCACCTCCCAGTGAGATCCCGAGGGTGGCCGGCCTTCTCTCCTGACAATGCCCCGCCCACACCCCAGGGCCCTGCCCACCTTCCAGGTGGCTGCCTTGAGGTTGAGGGTGCGGCCACGGCTGGTCAGGGTGCTCTTCATACGCAAGGAGAAGTTCCGCTCCGTCGGGGCCTCTGGCTTCTTCCTGGACAAGCCTAGGGAGACCACGGGGCAGCTGCACCCCAACAGCTCTCATGCCCCAAACCAGGACTTAGCACCACACAGGGGTCCCCAGGGAGGGGGATGGAGAAGAGCAGGACTCCTGTGTCAGCGCCCCCTCCCACCAAGCAAGGCCGTGGGTCCCCTCACATCCACCTCCCCAGCCCACACACCGCACGCAGTCAGGCCCCTGTGGGGGCAGTGGGGCAGTGGAGGCGAGGCCAAGCGGAGGGGTGGAGGGACACTCACTCTGCCGTGGCGTCAGGGCGTCCTGCAGTTCCTCTTGGTCACAGGGGTGGACGTAGTCAAAGACACTGTGTCCAATGAGCTCCAGCTGCCAGGCAGGGCACAGAGCCAGCGGCTGGGTGGGCGGCCTCTGCCCCAACCCGCCCTGCACTCCTCAGCCTCCGTGCCCCGGCTTAGGCCCCGACTGCCCAGTCACCGTTCACTGACCAAGCATCACGCTGGCACCTGCTATTCCCCAGGACCTCCACGCAGGATCCAATCTCGCAGTGCTTTCTGGCTAGTGTGTGTGTGCATGTGTGCAAAAATATAGTGAATACCATAGTGTAAAAACACAGCAGGGGGCCAGGCATACAGCTGCTGGTTCTGGTCCTGGCTGCTCCACTTCTGATCCATGTGTCTGGGAAAGTAGTGGATATAGCACAACGCTTTGGGCCCCTGCTGGAGTTTTAGTGCCTAGAAGTTAGAGCCATTTGGGGAGTGTACTAGCAAATGAAAAATCTCTCTTGTTCTGCCTTTCAAATAAATCAACAATGTTTAAATAAAATGTCAACCCCATTTTAAAATGTCAATCTGATTTGCCTGTGGCTCGGTCTCCCCTGTGCTCAGAATCGCTCCTAGCTCCCCTGGGAATAAGTCTTACCCCCCAGAGATCTCTGACCTCTCTCTCTCTCTTCCCTGCCACTCTGTGCCAAGCCAGGATAATTTCTTCAGTTCCCTCAAAGCACTCTGCCCTACCCCATCTCTGGATTCTGACTCCTCTGGTGGGTGCATTCCCTATTCCTCTGTGGCTAGATGTGTGTGTGTGTGTGTGTGTGTGTGTGTGTGTGTGTGTGTGTGTGTAGGGGGGAGAGCAGTAATCCTCTCCTCCAGGAAGTCCTCCATCCCTTCTCCCAGGCTGGGTCAGGTCCTCCCAAGGGTCCCAGCTCAGCCCTGCCCATCCCACGTCTTCCTGCCTGGGGAGATACGTCATCCCGTTGCTCTACTGGGAGTCCCACAAACACAGGGCTACTGTCCTCCACACCCCTCCCTGCCCTGCTGTCCTGGGTGTCCCCACCGCCTCCCCAGCGTCCCCCAGGCCCGCAGGCCTCTCACCTGACTGAGGCCCAGGTGTTTGCTGACATTCTCCGACAGGTAGGCCATGTCACCCTCAGCCGTGAGCACCATGACGAAGCCCTCCAGAGCCTTCAGGTAGCAGGCATCCAGGGGCTCTCCCTCGACCCCCGGCTGGCTCCACTCCCCTGGCACAGGGGCACGAGGGTGCCTCCAGTCACTCACGGTTGCCCCTGCCCAGCCTTGCCCATACCTGTCTCCGCTCAGAGGAACTTCCAGGAGCCCCCAGGTGAGCAGGTTGCAGTCCCACTGGGGAAGGTGGGACCACCAAGCTTCAGACAGAATGGCAAGGGGCTTGGGATGTCCTAATGGGAGGCTCTCCAGGGAGGGCAGAATTTGAATAACAAATGTTCAGGGTCCTGGGATTTCAAAGTGTGTGTGTGAGTGTGTGTGTGTGTGTGTAGCATTCCTTGCACCTGGTCTAGAGCTGGCCCAGCACCCTAGCTGTTAATGGCCATTGGGGAGTGAATTAGTGGATGGAAGACCTGTCTCTCTCTGTCCCTCTGCCTTTCAAATAAATAATCTTAAAAAAATTTTTTTTAAATTGGGTGGAAATTCAATAAATGCTGAAGTAATTAAATAACAGGCAGCAAAGCGTCTTAAGGGTATGTGTTACAAGAGGCTGGGGTCCCAGCGAGGAAAGTCCCCTAAGGAGGCCACGTGCTGGGGCCTGCGGGAGCCGGCTGCCCTGCCAGCCCTTAAGGCCCTGGGTGCAGACCTGGAGGCGGGGGTCTCCCAAATGGCAGACGTCTATGGAGGCGGGGCTTCCAGGGGCACCGGGCTCTGGCTGGCCCGGAGCTCCCAGGGGCGGAACCTCGCCTGGGCAGTGACTCTCAGGGGGTGGAGCTCTGCGGGCAAGCCGGACCCGGGGATGGAAGGGGCGGCTCTGCAGGCTCCGGCTCCGCTTCCCGGGGGTGGGGCCAGCGTGGGAAACCGTTTCCCGAGGGCGAGGCCGGGCGCAGACGGGCCTTCCCGCGGCGGGGCTCACCAGCGGCGCAGAGCCGGTGCATGCGCAGGTAGCTGATGGTCAGGCGCATGATGGAAGCCTTGTCCAGGTGCGCGCTGACGCCGCGCGCGAAGGGCAGAGTGTGCGCCAGCTGGTATAACACTTCGGTCTCCTGGCTGCGCCGGCTGCGGGCCGCATCCCGGGACTTCTCCTTGCGCAGCTCCGTGCTCGACCTGCGTGCAAAGGCTGCGGTCACTGCGGGGCGTCCCCGCAAGGGAAAAAGGCCGGATGGGACGCGCACGTGGGGGGTGGGGTGGAGTGCCGGTGCTGGCCCCCGAGGGCAGGGCTCATCCAAGGCGGAGTGGTCACTGCAGTGCGGCTCCAGGGCTCGCTGGAGATCCTTCCTAGCCCCGAATTTTACCTGTCTCTGTGCCAGCCCATGCTGCTGTCCCTGGAGTAGTGTGCCTCTTTCTCCTCTCCAGAGGCGTGCCTGAGACTGCAACGTCCCCTCCTTGACTTATCTGCAGTTTATTTTCCAACTGGGGACGCCTAGGGGACCAGGAGGCCTCCTGCTGCCCGGGGGCCCCTGTGGGGCTGGCTCAGTGCCAGAGGAGGGAGGGAGTGCACAAACGGGTCTCCTGCCCTCCAGGCTTCTAGAACACCCTTCCCTACCCTTTCTCTGAGTTGCGTCTTCATAATCTAACAGCCCCGATCTCAAAGTCTAATGACGACCAACCAGGGCCAGGGTGACCAGCCAAGCCCCCCTCCCCGCCCCCGGGCAGAGGTTCTGTCCATCCAGCGGCTAACCTCTCACCCTGCCCTTTCATCCACTTCAAACACCTGCGTTTTGCAGGTGGCAGATTGTACTGAGAGTGGAAGGATGAGACGGGTTTTCCAGAAATAGCTGCCACTTGCCCAGCTTTGCCCAGTGCCAAGTTCCCAGCTTACATGAACCCAAGGAAAGTTCAGACAATCCTGGGAGCAAGCTAACGTCTTTATTCCCCTTTGATCGGACGGGAAAATCAAGCGGTGGGCAGTGCTCCCGCCAAGGTTGGAACACCAGTAAACCCTAACTCTTAAGCTTCCTATCTTTTCTGGTCTCGGGTGTAGGTTCAGGTGTTGGCAGACCTCCGTTCAAGTTCAAACTCCAGCCTGTCTGAATCCAATATTTATTTGAGAGGAGAGAGGGAAAATGAATCTACCTACTGATTCACTCCTTAAATACCCAGGAGCCAAGAACTCTTTCCCTGTCTCGCACCTGGGTGGCAAGGTGTACACCTGCTGACTCCAAGGTGTGCACCTGCTGGTGCTGAGGTATGCACCTGCTCTGGAATCAGGCCTGAAACCCAGTGTCTAGCTACATCTGTAACCATTGTGTCACATGCTTCGCTACTGCTTTTTTCATAACTTGTCAGTCCTCTTAGACCTTGTCCATGAGTGAGGAGCAGCTGTCATTTGCAAGAATTTCCTCTGGGAGGAAGCCTCGAGTTTTCTCTCCCGACTGCCTCCTCTTTGCCCCCCTAGCCCTGGGCAATAGGGGCCACCTCTGGGTTGGCATCAACCCCACGCCCAGGCAGGAGGTTGACCGCTTCAGGAGGAGAGCTTCCTGTCCAGCTACAGAGAGAAAAAATAGCCCAAGGGTGGGACGCCCAGAAGGGGCCAGGCTGGGTGGGGGAGGGCTGGAGGGGGTGAAGTGCACGCCCCCACCCCTCCTTCCTGCCAGCCAAGAGGACATTCCGTCCCGTGTCCTGTTCCAGCCCTGTTTGTCTTCCGGCCCCTGGAGGGTGAGGGTGGGCGGGCCTCACCAAGCAGGGGCCCAGACAGAGGGAAGAGGACCGGGGGTGGCGTGGGGCCCGGCGCCACCCGGGGCAGCTGGACTCTGTAACCCTCTCTTACCAGTGGCAATGGAAGGGGCCAGCTGGTGGCAGGAGAGGGACCTTCCTCCCAACCCCCAGCCTGTTCTGATGAGAAATCTGGGCCTTTCGCTGGCTCAGACAACAGGGGAGATGGAGGCTCAGCCTTGGGGCTCCCACTGCCGCCATCCCCTATCCCCCAGTGCTGTTTCAGCTGTGAGGTTTTTGGCACATTGCATAGCCTCTCTGAGCACCTCATAGGGGCTGTCTGATCTATGCATATGGACCTGAGCTCCTGGAGCTCAAGGGCTTAGGAAGCTGGGCTTGGCTATTGGTTGATGCTCCCTAATAGTCAAACTTGGCAAACTTGAGGCTAGGAGTAGGGGGGTTGATGGGTGGGTAGTGTCCCTGGGTCCAGAGCTACAGCTTTCAGGACCCCCTCCTCCACCACCACCACTTGGGACAGGGTATCCTGCACAACCACACTCCTCGGGCAGCAGGACCCTGTACCTGTTAGGGACCCAAAGAGGAAGCAGGTCTGGGGGTGCAGGGGTGAGGGCAATGCCACAACTCTTCGTGGCACAGCAGGGGTTTAGACCAGCTGTCTGCTTGCTCACACTGCAAACCTGTTCAGTGTTCCCCTCACTGCCTCTCCTCCCAGTCTGGCTTCTCACTGACTCTGTGGTCTGAGCTGAGGGGGAGGTAGGATGCACCCCTAATTTTCAGGAAACCTGGGACGCTGTGGGACAATCTGGCACAAAGGTTCGCAGCCGGGAAGCAACCGGGCTGGGATTTGAACCGGGACTCCCAGCCTCTGTGCTCTCTCTTGGGGGTTTGCTCACTGCCCCCTGGGGATGGGGGTGGGGGTGGTCCCTGCCTGCCTTGGCCCAGTGGCCTCCATCTCTCCTTCCTCCCCACGTCCCCTTCCCCCCCTCCCCACCCTCTCAGCCTCCAGATCTCCCCAGCTGGCCCCATGCCTGGCCTGGCCCAGCCCCTTGGCACTCTGCCCAGCTCAAGACGTGCAGCTGGAGTCATGCCCCTCTTCCTCCGTGTTCCAGCCCAGAACACAGGGCGGGGTCGGGAGGCCCCAGGGGGAGGCCTGGAAAGGGGAGAGGGGGAGCAGGTCCTGCAACCAGGAGGGGGAGAAGTCCACTCCCCTCACCCTCCTGAGGCACTCGCCCTGAGAGCCAGGAGCCCCTTGTCCCAAGTCTTGGCTTCCATCTCCTGAGGCTTAGCTGGGCAGTGGGGCATCTTACTCAAAGCATGGGCAGGGGGTTGGGGGAGGGAAGCCCAGGATGTGGCTTGGCAGGGACCCCTGTGGCATTGCCTGGAGGTGGCTTGAGAAGCCAGAGGCAGTGGGTTGGGTATAAGAAGGAACTTGGGTGCAGGTGGAGGGTGTCTGTCCTTGGCTGTGCTCGCTCCCAAGGACGTGGTGGGTTTTGGGGGTCCGTCCTCCAAGGCCATCTTTTCTGCAGGATTTTCTGCCTCAGGTGGGCTCAGGGCACTGTGCCCATCCTCATAGGGCACTGCTCAAAAATATCCTCACCCACACCCCCCTTCAACTAGGGGTGAGCTGGCAGCAAGCCTAAGCTGAGGAGGGGAAGGGGGCTCACTCACCATCTCCCAGGCCTTCTCCTGCCCAGGTGCCATCCTGGGGGTGCAGGAGTGAACGGAGCGTGGCCGGGATCCGGGTGCGAGTTACGAGCGAGCGTGGCGCACGCGCAGGCTCCACAGTGGGATGACACCACACAGGAAAGGGCTGGCCTTGGGTGGGGGGTGGAGGGGGGAGCACCCCAGCTCAGCACTGAAGTCCCACCCAGCCAGGAGGGGGCGCTGGGAAGGGCGGGGCTGGGGCTGTCCCAGCAGAGGTGGGCTGGCGTTCCCTGGTGGGCTGGTGGCCAGGGATTGGAACAGAATGGGGGGGCGGGTATTGGAATGGGCTGGTGTGTGTGGGGGGGTGGTTAAAAAAAACCAGGGGTGTGTGGAGGGAGCCAATCAGACCTGGGAAGTCAGGGAGGAGGGAAGGGGGTGAGGCTCGCCCGGATGCCTCAGATTGGACAGGGGAAAACCAAGAGCGTGGGATCCGCTCGGGGGTCTTCTTTAACTCCTGGGCAGACAGGTCTCCCTGGCAGTGGTCCCAGGCCCTGAGTCTCCCTGGACCCCCACAGAGCTCCGCGTGCTGAGAGGTTAACATGGAAACCCACCCTCCAAAGCAGGTGGAGGTTACTGAGCACCGCGGTTGGAGGGGTGCACCCATCAGCATCTACGGGGTCCCAGCCTGCATTGGGCATGGCATGCCCACTCATGGAGGGTCCTGGAAAGAAAGTGTGGCTGGGCCACCCCCCACCCCCATCTCAGCAACAGCCACTGGGCAGGGGGCGGGTTGCTGGAGGATTGAGAGAAGGGGCCAACTGGGCTTTGTCAAGTGGCTCCAGCTTTGGTCTCTGTTAGGGAAGGGGTGGCTTTTCAAAAGACATAAAAATGGTCCCTGGGAAGGGTCCCTGACAGCCCTGGACAAGGTCCCCCTACCCAGGAAGGCGTTTTTTCCCCTCCTCTGGCACTCGCCCGCTAGGTCCTCATGGGGGGTGGGGGTTCATAGTATGTACCTGGGTGGGCTCAATTGGGGAGCACCCCCATGCCCTCTAGGGTCTCAGGGTCTCCTGGCAAAGATCCACCTCAACTCTGGGTGCTCAGAGGCCAGAGGTCCTATGGGTGACGCTAGACTTCACTCCAAGACCCCCCTTCCCCCCTCCCTGGAGGGCTGGGGCGCAGTCACCTTCAGTTCCCGTCGTTGGAGCTCGAATTTCCACCTAGAGCCAGGTTGGGAAGCGAACCCGGGGTTACAGGAAACGAGAGAGGTGGGGAGCACCAGGGACTCGGGGTGAACCCCTCATCGCTGCAGCCGCCCAGGGTGTGTGTGTGTGTAGGGGTGCGCCCCCGGGGGCGTCCTTTGACTTTAGCCTTGTGCCCCACCCCACACCTTGGGGTCCCCAGAAGGAGAGTCCGTCAACCCCCCATCAGGCCTGCCCCTGCAGCCCAGTACCTGGCGCGCTGCAGCCCCAGCGCCATGGCTCGCCCGTCGCTGCTCCCGAGCCCTCGGTGGCCTCGGCCCCCTCCCCGGGCCCTGCGAGCCCCCTCCCCAGCGCCACCCCTGCCGCCTCATTGGCTGCGCGGCGCCCGGCCCGCGGCTCTGATCGGCCCACGGGGCTGTCGCTCTGGTGGAGGGGGCGGGAGGAGGCGAGGCTGGAGGGGTGGGGGGCGCCGGCGAACACACACCCCAGCCACGCCCCTCGCCGCGGATTTCCTCGCCTGGCCGCCCGGGGCCCCGGCCTGGGAAGTTCCTACACCCACCCAGCTGGCCTTGGTCCCCGCCCACCAGCCTCCTGCTCGGGGTCACCTTCCACTGTCCACACCCGGGGCGCCCCTGCGCTCCCCGATCCCGCACGCTCTCCCTTCCCCCAACCTCGCCCGCTCTGTGTCCGCGACCCCCATGTCTCCTCCCCACATCTCCACACTCCCTCGGCCTGGGGACCCCACTACTTTCTCCTGCCCCCTCCCCACACTGCCCCCAACTGCAGCCCACCCCTCCACCCGCGCTCCCCAGCAGCCCTCCGTCTCCACTCCCTTTGCCTCCTTTTTTTTGGTTTTGTTTTTTCTTAAAGACTGATTTGAATGGCAGAGTTGCAGAGGGAGGCGGGGGCAGAGAGGGGTCTTCCGCCTGCTGGTTTACTCCGGCTGAGTCAGGTGGAAGCCAGGAGCTCCAGCTGAGCGGCAGGGGAAAAGGGTGTGAGTGTGTGCTGCCGGACAGCCTGCGTGGTCAGCGTCCTGGATGCCCCTTTGGGCCGGAAGAGGAGATTCCCCAGCACAGGTGGCCCTGCTGACCCTTGCTCTTACCAGGGCCCCAGGCACTTGCTGTCCCCTGTGCTCACGTGGTGGGCACCCCATGGCAGCCCGGCATCCCACCCCGTCTTTCCCCAACTCAGTCTCTGCCGTATGACTATAAGGCTGGCCCAACCCCTGGCCCTCACCAACTCTGGGGACTACATAGGGCCTCCATCTAGTCCATTAATGCCTTCTGGCCCGCTGGCCTCTGTGATTGCCTCTGGGAAGGCACCATGTGACCTGCGCACAGCCAGTGAGTGGACGCGAGAAAGTCTGAATTATTGAGACCAAGCCTCGGGCTCAGCTGGAGTGGTTCATCTTTGCTCCGTTGGGCGTCCACTGCCTTAAAACCTGGGGCCTGGGGCCTGGGGCCTGTGTCCAGGCATCGGGCTGTGCGTGCTCTGGGCGGCTGTGTGGGGTTTCCTCCCATCTTGGTGGCTGGGTCCCAAGGTGGGGGAAGGGTTGGAGGAGAGAATCTTCCATCAGTTGGTTTGCTTCCCAAATGCCTGCCACAGTGGGGCTGGGCCAGGAGTGTGGAACTTCATACACATTGAAGGGAACTGGCCCAGATCGCCCAGGGCCTCTGGCAGGCAATTCCACTGCCCACGTGTCCGCATGTGCCTGTCATGCATACAGAGGTGACACGTGACTGGGGCCAGCCTGTGTGGATAATCCCGAGACAGAACGAGTCCCCCACAGCACCCAGACACAGGTCTACCCCTTGGGCCTGCCAAGACAAGCACACGTGAGGGGAGACTGTGCCGACCGAGGACTCCTGCACACACATGGTGCTCCTGCGTGTGTCCATGGCTACACGCGTGCAAGGTCTCAGCCAGGTCACGGTTCCTGGGACACACACTGTGGCCTGGGCAGGTCCTCAGTACAGCAACGCCCCTTGAAGGAAAAGCCCTTGGCTGGCTCTGAGTGGTCGGGCACTGCCCACCACCGGAGGGTCAAGGGAAGCTCAGAGCCCGTTTGGATGCCAATGTTGGCACCAGGAAGACTGTCCAGGTCAGAAACCAGCGGTTCAGATCCCACGCCAAGTGGCAGTGATGGCCCGAGTGGCCAGGCACCTACCATCCACCTGCGAGGCCTGCTTGGAGTTGCTGGCTGTTGGCGTTGGTTCCAGCTTTGCCCGGTCCTGCCCCTTGGTCATTGTGGATGTTTGGGGCAGTGGGTCGGGAGGGGTGAGCCAATGCATGGAGCTTTATTTCTCTCTGCTTCTCAAATAAATACGTAAGAACCAACAGCACTACAAAGCTCCCATGCCGACACTGTCTGGGGATGGGCAGTGAGCCCACTGCGAGACCAGAGATCTTGGGCAATAGGTTGTGTGTGGCTGCAGGTGCCACTCCGAGCCACACGGGGGCGTCACACCAAGGTACCCCAAATCCCTCAACTCCGCAGGGAGTCAGGCATTAGGCCCTGCCTGGCTGGTCACAGAAAGATCTTCCATCCACTGGTTCTCTCCCCAAGTGGCTGCAACGGCCGGAGCTGAGCCAATCCAAAGCCAGGAGGTTCTGGGTCTCCCACACAGGTGCAGAGTCCCAAGGCTTTGAGCTGTTCTCTGCTGCTTTCCCAGGCCACAAGCAGGGAGCTGGATGGGAAGCGGGGCTGCCAGGACATGAACTGGCACCCTCATGGGCTCCCGATGGATGCAAGGCGAGGACTTTCACCACTAGGCAACTGTGTCTGTTGTTTGACATTTAAAATACTTCTATAAAGGGTTGAGAAGAATTGAATGCTTTAGGTCCCAGGTGGGTGGAGTTGGGAAGGCCTGAGGTCCTTTTAGGGTGTTTAACCTTTGGAGCACAAGGTCAAAGTCATTTTAATTAAAATATTAAGATGTTTGCCTTGCTATCCTCTGCACAATCAGCTTATCAGCTGTTTACTGCTGTTACTACTAAACTGCACACGTGTAACCGATTTTTTACTGTCATTTCAAAAAGATTTCTTTATTTTCTTTACCTATCTGAAAGACAAAGTTACCAAGAAAGAGGGAGACATAGATTCTTACCTGCTGGTTCACTCCTCAAATGGCCACCAAGCCTGGTCTGGGCCAGGCCACAGCCAGGAGCCAGGAGCGTCATCCGGGTCTCCTACGTGGGTGGCAGGGGCTCAAGAACTTGAGCCACCCTCCGTGGCTCACCCAGGTGCACCAGCAGGCAGCCGGATTGGATGTGGAGTAGCCAGGATTTGAACTGACGCCCACATGAGATGCTGGTGTTGTTGCAGGCAATGGCTTGACTCACTATGCCAGAGTGCCAGGCCCTGCCATTTTGCAATAGACAAATGCATCTTACATTGTCCTGGTGCCAGTGTCCGTAAGGCAGATACACACGTGTAGATGGCCAGGGCTGAGTCAGCCCTTCCCAACGGGGGAAAGCCAAAGTATTAAAATTGGGATTTGGCCGATAGTCTGAAACAGGCCATGGCGGTTTATTAGGACCGTGGACATGGGTCCGTGCTCTATGAGGCTATGAGGTTTTTGTTGTTGTTGTTGTTTGTTTTTGTTTTTCCTGCACAGGGAGAGTCGTTTCAGTAGAACACCATTCCTGGAAATTAGGAGGAATTGATGGACCGAAAGGCAGAACCCGTTCAGCTCTAGGCAAGCCTGGCGCGCCCTCTTGTGGTCGGTGGTAGGTACTCACCTGAGTCTGTGGGTGGGTGGGTGTGCACCTGAAGGTGAACAATAGCAACACACAAGTAAGTGGATGCCCGCTACGTACTAGAACCTTCCCCTGCTGCTTCCCGGGTGCCCAGGAGCAGAAAGATGGATGGAAAATGGAGGCGAGGATCCCTACCCAGGCCCTCTGCAATGCGATGCAATTGTGTTCCAACCTGGGACTGAAGTACTGGAGCGCTTTCAGGAATAGTAACAATCTGAACCCCTTGGTGACCAGGAGAATAGAAACTTTAAGAACAGTTATGCTGGGCCCAGTGATGTAGCCTAGTGGCTAAAGTCCTTGCCTTGCATGCACCTGGGATTCCATATGGGTGCTGGTTCTAATCCCAGCAGCCCTGCTTCCCCTTGACAGGGAACCTTCGGCCAGGGCCTTGCCTGGACCCCGGGAATGAGGTTGGGGTCTCACATTTCCAGTTTAGTTACAATCAGGCATAGAGACTCCTGAGTGTCAGCTGAAGACAGGGCGGTCCCTCTGTCCACAAAGCTTCCTGTGGCTGAGCTGGGGGCTCTTAGGGTGCAGGGATGCCTGGACTGGGTCCCCATCCCTGCCCCCTGCTCCCCTGCCTACGACCCTCTGCCCTTGGTGGGAGGGACCCTGGGTCTCTCTCCACTTTCTGGCCTTTGTTTTGCCTTGGGGTGGTGTCTGAGTCCATCCTCTGGGGCCAGGAGCCTGCCTGGGGCCAGGGGTGCCTCTTTCACCCCCCTACCCACCCTGGGGTTCAGCAGGCCCAGCCTTGTCCCTATTATCGAAGGAGACAGCTACAAGCCTCTCCCCTCCCCAATTCCAGGTCTTTGGGGAAATAATAGGAAATACATTTGCCCTCTGCCCCTGGGTGAAAGGCAGACCAGGCCCTGGCCCGGGGCCACTGCAGGTCATGGGGACTGCAGCCGGACACCCCGGCTCCCAGCCTTGCAAGCCCGGTGAGTCCCGGCCCCGACGCCAGACGTGGTGATCAGACCTTGAACTCAGGCACTTTCAGGGCAGCCCCAGGTAAGACTTTCCACGCCTCTGGGCGCCACGGAGAGAGAGCCAGGAAAGCAGTGGGACTTCCCCTCCGCCCCGCAGCCAGCGAGGGCGGGTCCTCCTTCTGGTCCCAGCAGGAGCACTTTCGGCCTGACAGGTGTGTGATGACATTTCGGGGTTTCAGAAAGAATGTCAGGAATGCCAAGGATGTCAGCTACGCAGGACTTGGGGGAGTGGGAGTGGACGGGCGGGGTCCCCCATGCGTCAGAGCGGCATCTCCCTGTTGGAACTGGGTGTCTCAGGGGCTCCGGCTCCACCTGCTCCCTGCAAGCTCACAACCCAGGGTCTCGGGGTCCCCCGCCCCCTCCACCACCCCCGCTTGCAAGGTCACGGCTGACTGGTTCATTCCTAAAGCTCCACACAGTGACAGCTGAGGGAACAGCAGCCAATAAAGCAAGCAGGATTGAGACTTAGTGCTTAGTGAAGGACCAGGTGCTGACCGAGTCTCTGGGAGCTTTATGCTGGGAGCAAAAACTAAAGCTA